ACGAAATCTGATTACTAGGAAAAGTTCACTGAAGTGCTGCACTCGAATTTCGAGACGTCAAACAACATGTTCTGGCAGATCAATCACCGCCCCAAGATGGACAGAAGGACAGTCCGATAGTACTGATGAAGAAGCTTCAATGCCTTCTTACAAGGAAGACGATATACTTTCACGAGGGCGACAATTCTCTAAGGAACTCTGAACCCATAGAACCGCAGTAAAACTCGCTTAAATAGCAGCAGGAAACGAAAATTACCATTTCTACAGATGAAATCAAACAAGCTGTGAAAAGCTTGAAAAGTGGAATGGCTGCTGCAATCAATGAAATCCGCCCCGAAATGCTGAAAGCAATAGGCGAACAAGGCATGTGCTGACCTACACGTGTCTGTCAAGCTGCAACGGCTACGGGGAAGACACCAGCGGATCGGAGAAGAGAGACCATAGAGAGTGTTTCAATTATAAGGACATTACCTCATTGAGCCTCAAGAGTAAACTCCACGCAAAGGCCTAAGAAAAGAATCGCCGCATAATAACTGATTCCAAGATACAGGAAGTGTAGTGTGGCTGACGGCCTGATCGAAGCAACTCTGATCATATATCTGCCCTAAGCCAGATTGTTGAGAAATCGCGGGAGTTCACTCATCTGGTGTTCATGTGCTTTGCTGACGTAGTGAAAGCCTGTGGCCGGATTCCGCGCAACAGTCTGTGGTCATGCCTTCGAGCATACGGGATAGATGGTCAGCTGCTAAGGGCCATCCAATCACTGTACTCTGCTGGTAAGTGCTACATCAGAGTAAATGGCATTAAGTCGAAATTTTTTAGTGTTTGTACTGGACTCCGCCAAAGCTGTGTTCTGCCTCCACTCATTTTGTGTTGTACATTGACAGAATAGTCAATGCATTCAGCTTTGGAGAAGTGGAAATGATAAGATTGCTGTTTGCGGACGATTTTTTTTTTCATGATATGCTCTGAAATTGTTCTCCAACGCTCTCTGGAAGGGTTCGAAGCTGAGTGCGACATGGCCGGTTTGCTTGTGAATATGTCTGAAACTAAAAGCCTAGTGCTTCGTCATTCTCCTGCCCGTTGCTCTTTTCAGCTAAACGGAGGAACAGTGGAACAGATGGACAAGATTCAATTACATCGGGTCGTGTTTACTGGTGATGAAAAATCGGATGAAGATTTCAATCGGTCAATTTGCGAACTGGAACTGCCAGCCACATTCTGCGTGAATTAGGTTCGAACGGTTGTGACTAAAACAAAGCTGTCTTAAGACTAAATTCTCTGTGTTCAAGTCTGCCTTCATACCGATGTTCACCTACAGTCATAAGTGGTGGACTAAGAAGGACATCTGATTATAAATGCAGATGGAAACTTCTGGGTTCACTGACAACTTGAAAACAAGTTGTTGCATCATGACTTTTACCTGCTGAATAGAAGATGGCAAGTGACGAAGTTCTATGCATTAGCGTTAACGTGTGCCTGTCTTTGTGTCTTAGTTGACTTACCGAGAAAACACTTCAGAATACTAGTCGTGATGATGAGTTGCCTCATCAATAAAACAGACGTGGCAACACAGTCGATCGAACAGTAACAACGCCTTTCAAACGAGGCCCAACATTTTCTTACTAAATTCTAATTCCCTTGAGCAAGAAATCCTCTGCCTTTGCTCCGGTGCAACCAGCCGAGAGAAAGGTAGAATGTCGCTGACCTGTGAATATTATGCACAGCCTAGTGGTTCTGGTGTGGTCATGTCAACGCGGCGATGTCAAATGATGCGGGCGCCTTGGAGCTGCAATTCTCGTTGATCCATCTGACAGTTAATGAAAAATCAGCACAAGGCATAACTGTCAAAAATTTATCCAATGCATAAGAACTTTATGAAAGCAACTTCTGATCACCCGCGAACTCGGAGTTCAATTTAGGGCTACCCCTGGCCATGCGACAAGCCAGTATTGCGTCTCTCGGCAAAATTTTCAGGCAGCCGGTAAAGAAGAAAGCTACTTGTAAGAACCCCATCCACAAGGCCTCGAGGATGTAAAGGAGCCTG